GTCACATGGTACGGAATCAATTATGCTGGGACGCAAGTTACACAGTGTGACTTCCAAAACAAAGGAACTCGTACCAGTCCAGTCTGACTTTCCTTTGTTTTGAAAGGCCTACTGTGTCACTTGCGTCCCAGCATAATTAATTCCGTACCATGTGACCGGATCGTGCAAAGGGCCTATTCTGCCCTTTGCTTGCCCAATGTGCTAATGAAGTCAAAATAATATAAATTTAATTTTACATGTAAATTGATTAATCACGCTGAGTAATTTTTTTTGTGGGGGAGGGGGGAGGCGGGGGCAGGAGTGGGGGCTGGTGAGAATGACATGTGACATCATAGTCACATATACCCTTTGCTATCTTCTTGGGATCAGGATTTAAGGTGTCAGCTGAGGAAAGGTGTTCCTTATGGGAGTTAAACTTCTATGTAGTTGGCATGGGACCATGACTTTGTCACTTTGCTTCGGAGGGATACCTGTCAGGGAGGTTCAACTGTATCTTGTTTATAACTTAAGGAAGTGTTTAATTTGCATTTTAATCAAAACCCTTGCAGGTCCAATATGAAATTGTTGATTAGCTATCATTTTTTTTCTTGTTTCATACTCTAGGCAAAGAAGGAGCAGATTGAAGTGATGAAGTCCAACAATCCAAGGTAACCCTAGAAGACTAACAACCTGTCACTTGTTTTCATTTTTTCTTTTTTGGAAAAAAGAAATCAAAATTAAACTGTGAACTAAGATGCTGGAAAAAAGTGTTTCCAAGTAAAAATTAAAATTGAGCTTAAGGTCCAAATATCATCTGGCAAAGTTCATTTAGCTTCATTCCTTAGTCTCCGTCTGGTAGTTTTAATTATTAATATATACTTAATAGTAATTATTGCTATTAAACTGGACAATCTGGTGAAAGTATGGAAAAGAATTCTTAAACACAAAACAGAAATGTGATAAATTTGAATTACTAAACAATTGAACTTGCATTTTATTTTCACTCCCTTCGTCATCTTGACTTCGTCTCGTTTTTTGTTTTATTTCTCTTAGGTTTATTCTCAGAAACTATATTGCACAGAATGCCATTTCTGCAGCAGAGAAGGGAGATTTCTCAGAGGTATAGTATGGATATTATTACCAAAACTGAAGGAAAAGGTAGTCCAGCAAAGATCCTCAAGATTGTAGTAGGAATCTCTAAAGATCCGGAAATAACCTGAGGTACTCTACGATCCTGGCACAATCTTCCTGAAATTGCTGAGGATCTTGGAGTATCCTTTCCTGACCTTTGCAAGGATATTTTTTGTTAGATCTTCGTCAAGTCCCCTTACCATAGAGATTTACAGAAGGCTCTTCAAATGATGGGTTTCTTGGATAGCTTAGCTTGTTGGATAACAGGAGATTTCTTATAAATAAACAAATGGCTTTTAATGAATTGCCATCCTTCTTATGATGGGTTTCTTGGATAGCTTAGCTTGTTGGATAACAGGAGATTTCTTATAAATAAACAAATGGCTTATAATAAATTGCCATCCTTCTTTCAGGTCAAAAGAGTCCTTAAACTCCTTGAAAACCCTTACAGTGATGACATTGATGTTGAATTAAGTCAAGAGGCAAAGAAAGAGACAGATTCAAGAGGAGCGTCAGAAGCAAGCTGCAGTGCAGAGGAACACTTCAGCTATGACAGCAAACCCCCAGGCTGGGCTGTTGATTTAAGGGTGACATGATCATCGTAAATACCTTGTCATGAATGAATCAGAACACTAAACCATGCCACAAAATTTGGAACTTTCAAAAGTGTCTTCATCTATATGTCCATGAACCAGTAGTAAACATTACAGATATCAGAGAACAGGTGAATGGGTCATAGTATTTCTCATTATCAAATTTTGAATGGAAATAAGAACTAGATGGTATAACCGTATAAATAATATTATGAAGATGTAATGTCCGCTGAAAATATTATTTCATACTGTGTACATATTTTGGACAAGCCAAGTAATGGATGGATGTGAAACTCTCAATACCAACATTAATACATGTAACTAAATTATAACTGTTTCAAAGGGAAACTGTGGAATTTTTACAACTACATCAGATGAAAACACTTGCACAGTAGCTTTGTTAAGTGTTCTATTCATTCATGGAATATGAGGTAAACAGCAATAATAGCTAAAGTGACTTCACACCACATGTTAAAATGTCACAGTACATTTTGCTCATGACAGTGCAATTTAAAACCAGAAGGAAGATTGCACTTGAAGTGTGGAAGTGATGTCAACAAAAACAACTCAATTTTTGTAAAAAAAAAAAAAAAAAAGAAAANTTAAAAAAAAAAAAAAAAAAAAGAAACTTAAGGGTAACTCTGATCTGTTATTCCCTTAAAGAGATTATTATTTTTGGTTACAATATTATTAGATGTCCAGTTCACAATAAATGAAATCTAATAGGAAATGAATCTAGAGTGTTGTATTTCAGATTGAATTATCACTAAATTGTGGAGATAATAAAACCAAAGAAATTCAAAATGACAGTGTCAGCTAGCAAATAGCCCTTTTCCAACAACCTAGATGGTCATACCAGGCGGTCAAAATCATCCTCACAGCTGGTCAATTTGCCCGATGCCTGGCTGTAAATGAAAGCCCTGTCAACTGGTAAATAATCTGGTAGGGTGAATGCAAAAAGAATTCAATGGAAATCCAACCAATCAAGCTTGGGTTTTCTTTGTTTTGGATGTCCCATGTCCCAACAATGAAAAATACCTGAAAATGCATCACTAAAATTAAGCACTAAACATACATATTTCATGAGAGTAAAATTTATTACATTTCATTAGTAAACAAAAATGCTTGTAGAAAGTACTTTGCTCGGCCATTGACAAATTTCAAAGATCTAATAACACTATAATTTTATAAAGGATAATCTTTATTTAAATTCATGAATATAAAAAAGTTAATTGAAATCTCAGAAAGTAGAGATTTAGAGATCAGCCACAGCTGCAGTCATTTTGTACAATTTTGGTGAAATTGTATTTAAATAAAGTGATCTATTCTTCATCTTTAAGCAACACAATGTCCACATCGTCATGCACACCTTGAAGTAGTAATTCACCTTTGTAGTTTACAATCTTCTTTCTCTTAGCAGCTTTAAGAGTTCCCACAAGGGCTGTGAAGCATAATAATAGACAACAATAATTATTATTTACTTGTGCATGCATTACCATTAAAAACAATACGAGTTCATAAATTCACATGTTTTTCATTTCAAACTTCTACACTTAAAATTCCACATTCAAAACAGTACTTGAATATTTGTCTGGCAGGAAACAAATAAGAACTTTTTCACTGTAGTAAACTACTCTCCTTTTTAAACTTCCTCAAAATACTAATTAAGATTAAATATGATTTTCAACTGTTTGGGATACTATAAAGGTTGCTTGAAGCAAGTGGTAAAAAAGAAAAGGGAGAAAACAACAATAGAGGACTTAAGATTTGTGCACAAGATTGAGTACAGGAACATAGGACTTTTCCATTCTAGTTTACAGGCTTCACATTATTGAGTCATAACAATCTCATCTCATGAGCTACCCTCACTATCTAAAAGCAACATGAAGAGCAAGTGTTCTGGAAATGTCACTGGTTTGAAATTCAAAAATTGTATTATTTTTCTGACTCAATCTCGTACTCAAAGTCCATTCTAAAAGCCCCTATCAGCTAAATAAGCCAATTTGGCCATCTGTCAAACTTTGCCCAAATTTGTATATCTGGCACTTGGACCTAGACATTTTAAAATCTTTACGACGGTTAATGACTTCACCTTCAAATATGTTTGCACAGCGATCATCACTAAAAATCACTCCAAACTTGACGGTGATTTGTCCGTCAGCATTAGGTGATCCAAGTCTCTTTATTTCTTGCACCAAGAGTTTCACTTCATGTTCCACATTCATGATGAGTCCTGTTAATTAGCATCAACCTGATGAGTTTAAAAACCATGGCATTACAAGGTTAAAAGATCCAAATGAAAAACAAACTTGTGTACAAGTGAAAACAGTTTAGCAAGGATCTGTGCAGAGGGCTGGTGTTGCCAAGATAACCTGCCCCATTCAATACATTACTTTGCTATTTAACTGGATTACCAGCAATCTAAGGGCTCCACATAATTTTCACATTGTAATTTCTAAACACTCAGAGCGTGATTGTCTGTAGGGTGTTCTTAATTGATAAGGGTCAATGAAGATGTTGCACCTCCATTTGTGAGACTTTGATTGCCTGACTTTTGACAACTGCTTTCAGGAGTTTGTATTTTCTAAACAAGGCACACATGCTCTCCTTCTCTCCCTCCCTTCCCTCACACCCTCAATATCAATCTCAGTGTACAGCCCGTGTGGGGAGAACAGAAAACTATATCTTCCTAAGGGAAACCCCCCAGGAGGCAGTGTGGATTTTTTTCCCAAGGTGTAAATTTGGTTCCTTGATGTAAAAACCCCCTCATATCCCTCTTTCAAACCCTTTCGTAAACGCATTGATTCTTTCATTCTGAGTCTTCCCTGTATCTCCCAGAATACCCCACCCGGATATCAGTTGCCGACAAACCAAGAATTCCCTACATACCACACATACAAATACATGTTCGCTACTGAATCTGCATTAGTACATAAGCTATGCAGTTTGCAAATCACAGATTCAATAAATATTTTCACAGAAATTTGTTAAGTTCATTAACGATTCGATTTTCCCTGCCGGACTGCTCCGTTGGCGAACAAACTAGTGCTGGACCTACAATAGCAGCTCACAGTCCAAAGCGATATGCGATCATTCAATTTGTTCCATGGTTTATCGTTCCCTGACAACATTATTCCTGCCATGGGCTGGTATAAAAATATTCTTCGGGATTATTACCAGCGTTCTGTTAGAAATTCTAGCTCTCACCTTTGCGATTTTGGAAAACTTTTCAGCAAGTCCGTCAGCCACCTCCTACTGAGCCCGCAAGAAGTAAGCCCAGCGCATAACAATTTAAAAGAAATCTCTGTCATGTAATTTAAATATTGTGCCTCTTATTGAAACAAACAACGCGACAGCCATTTACTGCGGTGGAGAGTTTTGTTCTTGGAAATTCGATTGTTACTACACCTAAAAGCTGTACTAATGGCAGCTCCCATTATCGAAGGAATTGACAATGAAGTTCTTTTAGTTGCTAGTGTTTTCGTGGCTTTGGTGGCAATACTTTTAGTCCATTTGGTTTATAATTCGAATAGAAACAGCAGTGCTAGACAGAACGAATCAAATTTCTCTCCAGACTCGGATTCGGCAAGGTCTTTGCGGCCTGAGGATGCAACACAAGAGAACTCAAGGGAAGGTAGGAAATCTTATTTCGCAACAACATTAGTTCTAATACCATGCTAGCAGCACAAGTAAGCTTTCACTGATATCGATTGTAATCATATGGGATTATGTGTAATAAGGACATCTGCAGTCAAGTATCGATTGATAGCCAAGATACATGTAGATACTCGATTGACATCTTGATCGATACTCAGTTGACACTCGGTCAATATTCGATCAACACTCAATCAACATCTCGATCAACACTTGATTGGCAGTCGATCGATAGTCA